TCTATGACAGATTTATTGTATACCAATAAATTCTAGTTTATCGGCAAAGCTGCGCGTCGTTTCTGTCTGACCACGTGAGTCACGGGTGGGAGCACCTGTGGAGTGTCCTCTGGAGACCTGTGCGCGGACAATGTGTCCTTCCCACCGAGCGTTTTCCCTGCCTGGGCCTCTGGGGCCTCCCGAGCGGGGAGCGCGGATCGGAGCGTCGGTGCTGGTGGGTGCGCACAGCAGAGCCATCCCGAGGGCTGCACACTGGGATTTCTGCTGATACCTAAGCCGCTCTGAGGACGGAGCACTGAAATCCGGGGCAGCTGTCTGTGGCTGCCACCTGGGGTCTCCAGAACTCCAGGGGTCAGGTTGATCATTCTAGGAGGGGGCTAGACACTCGGACAGCAGTGACTCACCTAGACGTCCTCCGAAGTGGCGGGGGTGGGAGTAGGGGCGGGGGGTGGCCACAAAAAAGCAGAGGGAGGCCCAAACCGGTTTGGCTCAGGGGATAGAGCATCGGCCTATGGACTGAAAGGCCCCAGGTTCGATTCCGGTCAAGGGCATGAACCTTAGTTGCGGGCACATCCCCTGTAGGGGGTGTGCAAGAGGCAGCTGATCGAAGATTCTGTCTCATCGATGTTTCTAACTCTCTATCCCTCTCTTACACTCTGTGAAAAATCAATGAAATATATATTAAAAAAAAAAAAAAAAAAAAAAAAAAAAAGCAGAGGGAGGAGAATCCTCAGCACCTCCAGCAGGGCCCAGCCCACACCAGGGATCTGGTCACACTGAGGTCAAGACAGTTCACCAGGCCTCGCCTTGGCCTCGCAACCCGAGACTCGCACGCTCTCCCTCTGGTTTCTGTGCATCAAGGAGCCGTCCAGTGGGTTCCCTGTGACTGCGATGATACAGAGAATCCTCCTGTTTGTGTGGTTTTCACCGCATCCCGGGACCCAGAGACCTGGGGGCATGCCTGCTGTCAGGTTCCAGAGCCCATGGGGCCCAGACTCCGACCCGGTAAACCTGAGGTTCTTCTAGAAACATCCTGCCTGAGACTACTTTTGTGGCCTCCTTAATTCTCTGTTGAGGGTTCAGCTGGGGCTGAGAGCCCCCTGACAGGTTGGGTGGTGGTGGAGGGGCCTGCTGCCTGGTCTGGGCGACCGGAAAGGTTGTGGATGAGAGCGGAAGTCTAAGGACAGGGATGTACTCGGGCCCGTCAGGAATAATCAGAACATAAGACTTATTACCACGCTTCCCTCTGGGCTGAGTGGCCGTTGATGAAGCCAAAGGTGACACACCACGGGGGGATTGTCTCTTGGTAACCGCTCCTGGTGCCTAGAGAAAGCCGAGCTGGGAATTCAGGGTGGAGCTCCTACGTCACAGGGACACCTCAGAGCCCTTCCCCAGTGCACACACGTGCATGTGCCTTGAGGTGCAATCCCCATAGTAGGTGCCCTGCGCTAGTGTGGCTCTGGCTGCCCACTGCGGGCACTGGGGCCATGGTGAGCTTTTGTGGTTGTAAAGGAGCAAGAGTCCTGCCGCTGCCTCGATTCCGGCGTGGCAGAAGGAACACGTACCACCCCAGAGGCGGGATCTGGACCTCCCTGCGGCTGAGGGACTTGAGTATCTCAAGAGACTCGGTTTTTATGCAGTTCGTTCACCCACCCAGACATCCAGGCCCCATCCACATTGACTGCACCTGTGCTGTGTGGGGGTGCTGTGTGGCTGGGCATTGGACCTGTGTGAACGTGGAGAGAGGCCATTGAAGAAGGGCTGATGGGGGGTGGAGGGGCTGTGAGTTCAGAGGAGCTCCAGGAAGGCTCGTTGGAGGACATGACATTGGACCGGGCATGGAAGGGGGATGGGATGTGAAAATGGGGACAAAATCATTTTGGACAGAAAGACCAGCATAAATGAAACTAGAGCCGGCCGACCCACGTGCTTAGGACAGAATTGACTAAGGATGTGCAATTCATGTGGAGAGAGGCTGAGCTACAAATGCTGGTCATGTGCTGCGTGGATTCCAAAGATCGAGAGTGCTATTCTGACCGTGTCTCTGTCAGGAGCTGGCCCGTGGGTGCCTGTGATGACCTTGGCCACCGCCACAGGCAGCAGCCCTCCAGGAGAATTCTCTCCAGCAGCCGGTTTTGCCTCTGCCTCTGGGGCATCCGCTTAGGGCACTGGGGGTTAATGACTTTCAAATGTGTGTCCACTTAAGATAAATGAACAGAATAGCGGGCCAGAGGGCTATTAAAATATTAGCATACTATTTACCATATGCATGATGCCACTTCCCTGAAACAGTTCCAGTGATCAGTAGGGACAGAATTTATTTAGCATCTACTGTGTGATGGAGACAGCAGGGGAGGCAAGATACGACCTAGTCTAGATGCTCCAGGCACTTTGAATAAGGCATCTTATTTGAACCTTAAAGCTACCCTTAGGCTGGTGGTTCTGTCATCATTTTACAAAGGTTTGAACCCAGGGCAATCTGCTCCACTGTATAGGAACCAACCCCGGAACTCAGATAACCAGGGGAGGGATGAACACCTTGCTCGGCTGTTCGGAGGAGGGCGGATCCTCCTGGTGGAAAAGCATTAGGGAAAGGTGGCATCGGAGATGTGTCCTACCCCGTGTGGACTTGAACATGGGACAGGGAGCCTGTGAACAGGGAAGCTTTAGGTGGAAGGAAGCTACTGGACAGAGGTGTGAAGGCAGGAAAGCAGAGGGTGTGCTCTGGAATGGCGGGAAGTATCGAGAAATAGCTGGATAAACAAGGCTGGCAAGGCAGATGGCACCAAGCTTGACTGCCAGGGTTTGGCAACAATGGGGAGCTACCGACGGTTCAGTGGCAGAGGAGTGACGTGATAGAAGTCAAGCTGCCAAAAGGCGAAGGTGGCATCAGTGGACAGGATGGAGACTGGATGGAGACTGGATGGAGGACGGTGGGAAGAGCCCTTGGCTCTGAAATGCCAGTCTGAGCTGTCACAGCATTTACGGTGTGGAATAACCAGGGTGTGCCTGCTTGTTGGACACATCAGCCTTCGGCAAGGAGCCAGGAACACAGTTTGTAGAAAAGCTTATGGAGGAGTGAACTTCCAAGACAGCATTCCATTGATACTGCAGAGACCCCCAAAGGAGCAGGCAATTGTCCCTGGAATCATAATTGAACTCTGAATGCCAAGCAAGCTGTTTAACTGAGGTCTTCGTTAATAGCTTTGTTAGGGACTAAGTGAGAACAAAAGCAAAACCAATACCAGTCTTGTCATCAAAATTGGAGAGGCAAGATATGAAACAATCAGGCAACACGGTCCCTTCTCCAGCATTGACGTAGTCCCTATATCTGTCCTTTCCCTCCCCTCCCCTCCCTTCCCCATTTCCTTCCCTCCATTCCTCCCTTCCTTTCAATGAGTTAAAAATTACGGCTCTAGCTGGTTTGGCTCAGTGGATAGAGCAACAGCACATGCCTGGGTTGCATACTTGATCCCCAGTAGGGGATGTACAGGAGGCAGCCAATCAATGATTCTGTATCTCTCTCTCCCTTTCCTTCTCTGAAGTCAATAAAAATATCTTTTAAAAAATTATATAGAACAGTGCCTGGTAAATGCCAAAGGCTTTGAGAGCCCTCTCTAATAGGTTTTTAGACTTCCAGAATTCATTACTAGGGTACCATTCTTAGAAGGCCCACAAAAGGGCAGCATTGCAAGCTAATACCTTACTGGGGTGCCATTCTCAGGATGTCCACAAGAGGGCATTATTGCAGCTAACCCCTTACTAGGGTACTGTCCTGAAAATGTCACCAAAGAATGTTATTGTAACTAATATCTTACTAATTTACTGTTCTCAGAATGTCTACAGAGAACTCTATGGTGACTAATCCCTTCCTCAGGTGCTGTCCTCAGAATGTCCATCAGAGTGCGCTATTATGACTGACCCACTTACTAGTCAGTTGTCTTAATGTCCATGTCCACAAGATGGCACTGTTGTAGCTAATTCCTTATTAGGGTGCTGTTCTCAGAATGTTCACAAGAGGGCACTATTGCTACACCTCCTTGCAGAGTGAGAGCCCTCAGGTCTATTGGGTTTTCAAAGGGACAGAATGTTGGCATCGCATGCAGGGGCCACCCTTACTGGTTTGTTTCAGCTGCTTCCCAGTGCTTAGCTCATTGCCCACACATGGGTGGTGCTCAAAAAAAGAATGAGTGAATGAAATAAAATTCTATAAAGATAGAATCTGAGAATATTAGAATTACTAGAGGCTTGGTGCACAAAATTCGTGTGGGGGGTTTGGGGATCCTCTCAGCCCAGTCTGCACCGTCTCCAATCTGGGACCCCTTGGGGAATGTCTGACAGCTGATTTAGGCCTGATCCCAGGGATCGGGCCTAAACTGGCAGTTGGACATCCCTCTCACAATCCTGGACCACTGCCTTCTAATCGCTCACCTGCCTGCCTGCCTGGTCATCCCTAACTGCACTCCCCCCCCTTCATGCCAGCCTGATCACCCCTCACTGCCTCTGCGTGCTGACCTGATCGCTCCTAACTGACCCCCCTACCAGCCTGGTCGCTTCCTACTTACCCGTACTCCATACTGGCCTGGTCACTCTTAACTGCCCCCCTGCTGCTGGCCTATTTGCCCCTCACTGCCCCCTGCCAGCCTAATAGCCTCCAACTGCCCATCCCCACCAGCTTGGTCACTCCCAACTGCACCCCTGCACCAGCCCAGTTGCCCCTAAGAGCCCCCTCCCCCACCACCCCGTCAGTGGCCTGGTTGCCTTTTACTACCCTGCCTGCTGGCCTGGTCACCCCCTGCTGGCCTAGTTGCCCCCAACTGCCCCCACCTGCCAGCTTGGTTGCCCCTCCGCCCCCCCCCCCCCAGCCGAGTTGCCCCACGCAGCCTGCTATTCTGTTGTTTAGTCATCCCTCACTAACCCCTCTGCCGGCCTGGTCACCTCATGCAGCCTGCTTGTTCAGTTGTTGAGTTGTAGGCAGCCATCTTGTGAGGGCGTGAGGGTTAATTTGCATATTACCTCTTTATTATATAGGATGGGAAGCATTCAGTTAGAAGAGGGAACTGAGGGTCCAGGGGTGGATTATAGAATCTTCTGGGCGCTGAAGCTTCTGGGGCCTGTCTCTTCCTAAAGGGTGCATGGCCTGGGAGGCCAGCGATGGTCTAGGCCACACTCTGGGCATCCTCAGGGCGGGATGGGTTTGCAGGAAAGGAATGTTCCAGAAGGAGGGCCTTTGGTGCCAATGTTCCCCAGGCCTGGGCTGCAGCAGCGGGAGGCGGGGCCTCGGAAGGCCACAGGGAGGAGGGGCGCGGCCTCAGCAGGGGGGGGTGGGGCCTGTGCACAGCCTGTTGGGGTAGTGGGCGTATTTGCGGTCGTAGGTGTCCAGGTTCTGGCGGAAGCAGAGTGCTGCCGTCCTGTCACACTCGCAGGTCTCTTGCTGGCAGGTGGTTCTGCCGGCTGCGGGGACAAGGCGAGTCAGGGACCCGAGCTCCGGCCCACATTCTCACCCTGTCCTGCCGGAAGCTCATTCTCATGGGGATGTCGCAGGGATGGTGAGAGAGGGCGGACACAGGAGGGCTGCCCGGCCAGGGCGCTGGGAGGCTGCCAGCTTGTCCCTCCTCCCCCAGCTCGCCCCTCTGCCCTCCCCTTCCCCCCACCCGCTTCCACCCTGCAGCTGGACCACTAACTCATCTGTGGGGGGAGGGGGGGGGAGGCCGGGGGAGGGGTGCCAGGGGATTTCTAGGCAGCTCCCGCCCGGTGTGGAGTACTGCTGACGGTGGATTGCAGCCATCAAGCAGAGAGGAAAATTGCGAATGACAGCCACCCAACCCCAGAGCAGCCTGCGCCCAGACTGGAGGCCACGGGGCCTGAAGCTGGGCCCCCGTCTGTGCTTGTGTCTGAGTGGACGGAGCCCGATTCTCTGACATTTACCTTACACACCCCCCTCCACGTGTGTGCCCACACCCAGGCGGAGCAGAGCTGGTACCAGGCCCCGGGGCCCTAAGCCTCGCTCCCTCCCCGCCTGTCTGCCCCGCGGCTCTGGCTCCTCTCTGTCCCAGGAATACGCCCACCGCTCAGGAACGCTCTCCACTTTCTGTGCTGCCATTTCAGCAAAACTCGGAGTTGGAAGGGGCTTAAGGGCCGAGCCGTTCTTTAGGCTGGTTCTTGCAGAAGCTGGGCCGGAGCTGGGCGAGTGAGTGTGACCACCTCCATTTGATAGATGAGGAGGCAGCAGCCTCCGGGGGGTGCCCAGCCCCACGCCTGTGTCTGTTCCCCCCTGACACCTCCCAGCACAGCCCTGACGGGGGCATCTGGCCTTGCAGGCACCCCAGGATGGGGAGCTCACTCCCTCACAAAGCCGCCTCGCTGAGCAGAAGGCTGCGGGAGCGAGAAACAGCCAGATCTGCCCCCGGCGGCGGTGGTCCTGGCTCTGCCTTCCCCCAGCACAAACCCGGGGTCTGAGCTGAGTCTGCTGTGCCCCCCCCCCCCCCTGCGCCCCACACGGCACCTGCCCTCCCTCCAGGCCGCCCCTGTTTGCAGCTGGGAGATGGCTGGGTTTGGGTTAATAGGGTGCCCAGGAGCTGGGCTGTGTGAAGCCCTCGCACTCTGACATGGTTCGGGCTGCCTCTCAGGGTGGGGCCAGGAGGAAAGGGAGCTGGTCCAGGTGGGCCTTGGGCCTGGCAGAGCTGAGCACATGGGCCCAGCCAGCCTGGCAGCCCCAGGGAGAGACGGCCTTCGGGCACGGGGTCTGCTGTCCCAATCAGAGCCCCAGCTCCCTGCCTGGGCCCGTCCCTGAGGCTCTGTCCTGGGTTTACCCAGAGCTGCCGCCAGGCCTGGGGAGGGTGTGGGGGTCCGGCTCCTCAGGGGCCTGGCTCAGCTCTGCCCCTGGCTCCCCTCCGAGCCGCTGGAGCAGGAGGCCTCTGGGCGGGGGTGTCGGAGCGCCGGAGGCCTGGGCTCTGTGGATTGGGCGCCAGGCGGGACAGGTGGGGGGGGGCACGCCTCTCCCGGTCGCGGTGGCGGGAGACCCCGCCCCTCCCCGGCACTCACAGCAGAGGATGTTGCTCCTGCTGGCGGAGAAGAGGTACCGCTCCAGCTTGGGCTCGCAGCCCCGCTTCTGCAGGCGCCCGTAGCAGCAGTCGTGGGCGTGGCAGCACCTGGAAGGGTCACGGGGCCTGCTGGGGGCTGCTGGGGGCTGCTGGGGGGCTGCTGGGGGGCTCCCAGGAGCTGTCAGCCCCGCTTCCCGGATGGCTCGGCTCCTCCCTCCTCCAGGGATGCTCCCCCAGCTCCCGCCCCCCAGGCGGGCCCCCCACCCCCATCCCCGCCTCCTGCTCACCAGTCCGTGGGGTCCACCGGCCAGTGCGAGCCGCCGATGCCGCAGTAGCAGCCGTAGTCGTTGTACTGCAGCGCGGACTTCCCGGTCACCTTCTCAATCATCACCCCGAACTGGACCAGGTTCCCGCCGGCCAGGGCCACTGCGGGGCGGGCGGTGCCCTGAGCGTCCCCGGAGGTCCCCTCCCATCCTAGTCAGACAGCTCTCCGGCTGTCCAGTTAGCCTCGTGTCCCCAGCACCTCCCTCCCAACATCCATCACGCCAATCGGTAATAATACCTCCGTGACAGCCATGGCCCCTGGGTCTCCTCCCCGCCCCCTCACGTCACTGCACCCAATCCCCTCCGCTCCCCGCTGCCACCTCCCGGGATAACCCCACTGCTCCCAGGTAGCAGGCCTGTGCCCCCAGATGCGCCCTGTTCCCTCCAAGTGCCACCGGATGCCACCAGCTGGGCCTCCTAATCCCCTGGACCTCCCCCAGTTCCTCCAGATCTTTTCACCGGGGAAGTGAGGGTGGGGGTTGGAGTGTGGGTGATGGAGCCCCGTGTGTGCTGCGTGGGGTCCCAGCCGGCCCCTTTCTCTTGCCCCCAGGCCATCTCCGAGGCATCCCCACACCCACTGGTCAGTGCTCCCCAATGGTCAGCGCTGGATCAAGGGCCTCAGGATGACCCGCCACACCCTCCCAGGGCGGGCTCCGGGAGGTTGGGGCTCCTGGCTGGGCCAGGGGAAGGGTGGAGGTCACAGAGGTCACTTACCCAGGAGGCCCAGGAAGGCCAGAAGAGGGGGAGGCTTCATCGTGGGGGAGGGCGGTGAGCAGGGCCGGGAGCCGGGAGCCGGGAGCTGGGCTGCGGAGAAGGAGGAGGTGAGCAGGGGCCCCTCTGGTCTGCGGCTGGCGCTCCCTCAATAGTTAAATACCCAGGTCCTGTCCACTCCCCATCATTAACCCCTGAGTGCCCCGTGAGCAAACACGTCCAGGTCTGACAGGCCGAGGCGGGGGAGGGGCCGCTGTGGCTCTGTTCTCAGCCCCTCCCGTCCATCTCAGCGCCCCTTCCCCAGCCCCCGGGGCTCCTGACCGGCGGGCTCCAGGCAGGGGCTGTGCCAGGGGCTTTGCATTCTGGGTATTTGTTCTCACCCTGTTTTACTGATGCAGCAACTGAGGCCCAGAGAGGTGCTCACGTGGCCTGGGGATGCCACGTCGGTCCTTTCTCCCTGTGCCGGCTGCTCCAGCGGGCCCTCCACCCGCCTGCACCTCACCCCGGCCTCCCTGCTGCCCAGAGGGAAGCCCAGAGCAGCTGGACCCCCGCAGGACGCCCGGGCCTGGGCGGCCTCTGTCTAAGAACCTGCAGCCGAAGCCTGGGAGCTGGCCGGCTGAGCTTCGGGGTTTTCTGTCCTGTTCTTTCCTGGGGAGGCTCCTGTGGTCTGTGAGCAGTGAAAACGCTCCCAGATGTGAGTCCCGTCTCCCCAAGTTCCCCAGCCCCGGGCTGGGCAGTGTGGCTGCCCGAGAGGGGGCCTGAGTCAGCGGAACCCGCATTCCAGCTTGCTGCTGTCACTGGGGCTGGGTCGGGGAGACAGTGGCCCCCAGCCCAGCTTGTCGTGTCTCTCCCCCCCCCCCCCACGGGCTAGCTGCTGTGCCGGTCAGAGGGGAGAGGAGAGGGAAGCTCTGTCCTGGGTGAGAAATGCCAGATCCCACGGGCTCTGCACTCACAGCCCTGGGTTGCCGGCGGCTGCCCCTCCCTCCAGGCCACAGGCCTGGCGTCTCCCTCCTGCCAGCCCTCCCTCTTCCTGGCCTGGGACTGGGATAACTTGACCAACCACTTCCATCCTCGTGTGGGGCCTGGGAGCTGCTTCATCCTGGCCTCCGAGGCCCAATTCCACCACTTATCCCGTGGCTTTGTTTGTTTGTTAATCCTCGCCCGAGGATATTTTCTCCATCGATTTTTAGAGACAGTGGAAAGGAGGAAAAGAGAGAAGAAGGGAGGGGGGGAGAGAGAGAGAGAGAAAAACATTGATGTGAGAAAGACACCAATCAGCTGCCTCCTTCACGTGCTCTGATGGGAGTCGGAGACCGACCTGCAACCCAGGCATGTGCCCTTGACTACGAATCGAACCCACCACCCTTTGGTGCATGGGCCGACACTCTAACCACTGAGCCACAGGGCTGTTACGTGGCCGCTGGCAGGGCCTTTCCTGGCTCAGAGCCTGGCTTTCCTGTCATGAGGAGAGAAGGCCTCGCACCCTTGCCTCCTCCGTGGGAAGCTCACATGCAGCCCGCACGCCCAGCCCCCCTCAGTGGGTCTCAAGGGCCTCTCAGAGCCCCACGAGGTGACTGCTACCTCATGCCCACTCTACAGAGAGGCAAACCGAGGCACACGCTACGTCCATGGTGAGCAGGATCTGGCCAGGCAGATCAAAGGGCTTAACTAATTGCCAACATTGCCCAGCGCCCACAATGCCTTTCGGTGCCTCACAATGTTCTCATTTCTTTAAAATCAGAAGAATGACTATCATCCAGTCTGCATTCTACTTCTCTCCATACCAGTGAGGTCACAGCATCTTTCTCCCTCCCTCCCTCCCTCCCTCCCTCTGCGGCCCTGAGCTGACCTCAGGCCAGAGCACCCTCTCGGGAGCTGACTGGCCTTGACCTCCTTGCAGAGGAGAGGCGGGGTGCACACTGCAGGCAGGATTCCCTCTCCCCACCGCCGGGATGGAGTCCTGGGAGGTGTCCCCTGGGAGAGGGCAGGCAGGCGGAGGCTGGGATCCCTGGCACAGGTTTGGCATGAGAGGTTTTTGACATGAAGGTAAAGTCAGTAAAGTTTGGGTGCGGCCCCGCCTCCCGCCTCCTGCCTCCTGCCCCTCCACTTTGTGCTAGAAGCTCCTCCTGGGACTCTTCATGCCGGGCTCTCGCCCACTTAGAGCAGACTTGGGGGCCCAGGGGCCGGAGAGGTGAGCCTGCCCGGCAGCCTGGCTGCGGTGAGTCAGCGGCGCCTCTGTGTTCACCATCGCCTTCTGGTTTAATGAGGGCGCCTCGTGGCAGCCCCGGCTCCTGGCCTGGTCACAAAGCCAACCGGTGAGTCATGGAGGAGCTGCCTCCTAAACAGCCATGGATTAGCTTTGAGTCCTGGGCAGGCCTGGCCCACAGCCCTTCCTGCAGCCGCTGCAGGGTGTTTCCCAGGAGGGCGGCAGCGTGTCTGAGACAATCCCTTTGTGAGCCATTTTGAATCCTGGCCTGGCCAGTGCGTATACCTGTGACAGGAAACTGAGGACTGTAGGGCCGGAGCCAGGTGGGGAAATCCAGGCGGGCTTCCTGGAGGAAGCCTGCCATTTGAAGGTGGGAGGGGGGGATGTTGGACAGACTTGGATTTGGAAGAGAGTTTCAGGTATTCAGGGAATGAGGTTGGCTTTCTGGTTCTCTCACCAGATTGTCTCTGCATCAGCAAGACAGGGACTGGAGTGTGAGCGCCACCACAGAAGCTGTCTTACCTTAGCCCTGGCCGGTTTGGCTCAGTGGATAGAGGGTTGGCCTGTGGCCTGAAAGGTCCCAGGTTCGATTCCGGTCAAGGGCATGTACCTTGGTTGCGGGCGCATCCCCAGTAGGAGGTGTATAAGAGGCAGGTGATCGATGATTCTCTCTCATCGATGCTTCTAACTCTCTATTCCTCTCCTTTCCTCTCTGTAAAAAATTAATTAACAAAAAAGAAGAAGAAGAAAAAAAAGAAGCTGTGTGACCTTAGCCAGTCCTGTCACCTCTCTGGGCCCCGCTTCATCATCCATACGAGGTGGAAAGGAAACAAACCGTGTGCATCCTTTGCAAGATGCCATGCCCAGTAGGAGGGCCCAGAAATACTGGGTGCTTCCCTCCCTCCCTCCCTTCCTCCTTACCCGGCCACAGAGGACAGCTGCTGGGCCAGTACCCCAAAGCATCCCCGGTCCCACGCAGCTGGGCCAGGGCCCCCAGCATTTCCGTGGGATTATTGCCCCTACTCTGCAGGTCTTCACTCCACGGCGGAGGGTGGCTGGGGCAGAGGGGAGTGGAGGGCACAGAGCTCTGCCCTCCATCTCTGGGTTTAGAAGGCATCATGGTCACCATCCTAACAATAACAGCGGCAAGACGACTGCACGTACGTAGCTCCTGCAGTGCCAGCACCAGCCTGGGCCTCTCTCTTCTGCTGTGTCTGCGAAGAATCCTGCAGACGCCCAGCAGAGTGGGGTGCCCTGAGGAGTCTGCCTGCTCTGTCAATACACTATATGGAGGATTTACTACGTGCTGGGCATACGCAGGAGAGCAAAACCGGGTACGATTCCTGCCCTCCTGTCTGACAGACCAGCAGACAGACAGACATTAGAGACTACCTGCTGAATGGAAGCTTGCAAACTGAGGTAAGTAGCATGGCAAACTGAGGTAAGTTCCACGGGGCTATGAGAACGTTTAACAGGGCGTCTGATCTGGGCAGGAGGTCAGGGAGGGCGTCTCTGCGGCAGAAATGACTTAGCAGGGATCTCAAGACATTTACCGGCTGAAGATGGAAGCGGAGAGGATTTACCTAAAGAAGCAGCCTGTGCAAAGGCCCAGTGTCAGAGGGACCTGCTACCCAGGCAGGGCTGAAAGGAGGCCCGGGTAGCTGGGCTGGGGATGGGCAGCCTTGAAGGCTGTGATTCACTGGGAAGTTGATCCAGGGACCTTGCCCTTCCACTGACCTCACCGGGAGCCTTTGGCTTGAGCCTGATGGGCAGGTGGCCTAGAGTTCGCAGAACGAGGCAGTTCTTTTCACCCCAAATGGGAGCCCACAGGGAGGCCTGTCCCTTCCGTGGGAACAGCTGTCATCACCGCGGGGTTCTCCATTTGTGACGGAGAGTCAAGAACAGGAGCCCTTGGTGTGGGCCTGCCGTCCCCTGTCAGAAGGTGACCAATGTCATTATAAACGATATGGCCACGCCTTGCTGATGTTTGTCTGGGGAACAATGGAGCCAGTGAGGGCTTGGAGCAAGGAGGTGTCGGGCGCATACCCATGTTGGGACAAGATGCTCCAGCTGCCAAGAGGAGAGCGAATAGGAGGGAAGAGAGGGTTGGAAGCAGGGTGCTCCCAGGCATAGATGACGGGGCGGGGCTGTGCTGGGCGCACTGGCTGGGTGGCGGAGCCTGAGGAGGGGTGTGAGTGCATCGGGCCACACGCCCTTCATGGGTGCAGTGGTTACGGGAGGGAGAGGAAACTGCGGACCCTCATCCCACAATGCATCACTGCTGACTCAAGTGGGGAGGTGTGGGAGGGCCCAGGGGAGCGGGTATGCCCACAGAGGCCGGGCAGGTGCCACATGCAGAACGAGGCCTGTGAGTTTTGCTGTCAGTGCCTGTGAGGGGCCCCTTTACTCTGAGTGCCACGGTGTCCTGACTCTATTTACCCCTCTGTGCGGTGGGGCGGATAACAGCATCTGTCGTGTGACATTGTTGGCAGAGTTAATAGAACAATACCTCAGGGGAACCTGCAGGTGCCGGGGTGTTTCTCAGCATCTAGAAGGTTTCAGGAACCTGGAGAAGGAGCTGAGGTAAATTAATAAAGAGACTAGACATGTAATATAAATTTGGAAGGCATTCTTGGGAATGCCAGAGGAGACTTAGTATAGTAACCAAGTTCTCTGAATCTCTGGACCCCTCACTTTTTAAAAAAATAAATTAAAAAAGTATTTTTTATTTTTTACAGGGAGGAAGGGAGAGAGATAGTTAAAAACATGGATGAGAGAGACACATTGATCAGCCGCCTCCTGCACACCCCCTACTGGAGATGTGCCTGCAACTAAGGTACATGCCTTTGACAAGAATTGAACCCGGGACCTTTCAGTCCACAGGCTGACGCTCTATCCACTGAGCCAAACCGGTTTCAGCATCTACCCCTTCACTTTCAGTCTGTGTGAGTCCCTTGTTCTGAGATGGGTCTCTTGTAGACAGCATATATATGGATTGTCTTTCTTTTTCTTTTTCTTTTTCTTTTTTTTATTTTATACATTCAGCCACTCAATGTCTTTTAATGGGAGCATTTAGTTCATTTACATTTAAAGTTATTATTGAAAGGTACTTCTTTGTAGTCACTTCTATTTTTGTGCTTGTGTTCTTTCTTACCTTTTTATTTCTTCTTTTTACAGCATTCCCTTTAGCATTTCTTGCATTGCTGGCTTGGTAGTGATAAACTCCTTTTTTTCTTTTCTTTTTTGTCTGCAAAGCTCCTGATTTCCCCTTTAATTTTGATTGATAGTCTTGCTGGATAGGGTATTCTTGGATTTACTTCTTTGCTTTGCAACACTCTGTATACCTCTTTCCATTCCCTTCTAGCTTGATGTGTTGCTGTTGAGAAATCATTTGATAATCTGATGGGGTATCCTTTGTAGGTACCTCTCTCTCTCTCTCTCTCTCTCTCTCTCTCTCTCTCTCTCTCCTTGCAGCCTTTAAGATCCTCTCTTTGTTGTGAACATTTGCCATTGTAATTATACTGTGTCTTGGTGTGGGTCTTTTGGGATTCATCTTGCTTGGGACTCTCTCTACTTGGGTAACT